GACTGGACTACGGCACACATACATAACTCCAGTACTGACAGACATAACTCCCACCACGAAAGAATTGCAGCCACGTCCTCTTTAGCTGGCTATTGGATTTTTAGCAAAAGTCTTAAGAACTCTCTCTTGCAGTTTCAGCATCTTCAACCCCCATTAGTGATTCCTAGTCAATGTCCTGTTTGTGTTTGTAGGGACTACTTAAAAATGAAATTTCCAATATACATGTTCATTTTTATTCCTTAGTAGTTGGGGACAAGGCACCACTTTGTTTCTAATAGCATTAGGAACTTACATAATCTTGGTATTAAATAGCAAGAGTCAGCTTTTCTTTTACTAATGAACTTATTCTGTAGCAGCTCAGTGTAATTTGTGCCTAATTTGTACAGCTTACACAATGTGAAATAAAGAATATTTTCTTGTTTTCTATATTAAAGAAAAATACTGATTTTATGGAATTACTGTAGCAAGTAGCAAATGCTGTATGAGAAAAAAAAACAAAACCAATGCCTCAAGCAGAGAGAGACACCCAATTCCGTGTAATTGTATGCATACTTCTTCAGAATGTTGGCTTTAGGGAACGTGAAGGAGAAGGAGGAGAAAACAAATAGAACATACTTTTTTTTTAAGGAAAAGAAAACAAATAGAGCATAGTTGATTGGGGTTATTTTTTAAAAAGGCCATTTAGAAAGTGTCATGATTTACTACAAATATTTAACATTGAAGTTATCTGTAATACTGATTCCTCACAGTCTTTTTCGGTCATTAGTCCTGTATATTTACATTTTCCTCTTTTCCCTCACTCATGTCATCTATCACACATAATTGAATGAAGCCCTATTGTGTGTATTTCATATGGAAGATTAAGATGTAAAGGGTTTTTTGTAAGGCCCTTAACAGTATTACAGTAGAGTTCTTTCCTTTTGTCTCTAGCCAATAGAAATTAATTAGAATCCTGGAAACTGGAAGAAAATTGAAACTTTAAGTTATAGATTTAAAGCAATGGAAGTAATACTTTTTGATGCCCTTTTTTCAGATTCTGGCTATAAATTCTGTAATAAATCGCAGTGACCAAAATGCATTTTTGGTAATTTTCTCTTGTATCTAGACTGAAAAGTAAGAATATCCTTTTAAAGGAGGCTGTCAGACATGAGGAGAAACAGTGAAGAAATTGTTTGAACAATCTTAACAAAACCCACAGAATAATATTAAAAAAAAAAAAAGGTTGATATAGCTATAGCCTTCATTATAACAATGTTATTAAAAATGCTTTTAAGCGTGGAAGTACACATAAGGAAATCTGGAAAATTCAGCAACAAATCACTGAGGATACGAAACAGATGTAAAATGACAGCAGAAATGCCAACAAGATACTCCGATTTTCAGGACATTTATAGGCCTGAGGAATGTTAGTCCAGTAGACATTGTGAAGAAATTACAAGTAAGAAAACAGGAAAAAAACAACCTGAAAAATACATCTACAGTGGATATAACTGCAGAATCTGAAGTGGCTGGTGGTAGAGCATTGAGAATGAAATTGTACTTATACCTTTTCACCCCACTGAATGGCATGTTACTAAAAGTGCAAAGTAACAGAACTTTTGGCAGGATTGAACATGACTTTAAATATCACTGGATCTGCTAAACATTGTTGGTTTCCGTGTACTCCAGGAACCAGCTCTTTTCAAGAACTGTGAAAAGAAAACGAAGTGCCTGAGAGGAAGATTACAAAAGTTCTTTAAAAAGACTATGACTGAAGTGAAGGAAAGAGGGAGATAAGAGTTCACATCTGAAGTATTTTCTGCATAAGTGAGAGAAAGAGCCTACCTTACATGTGAGAAAGGAAAAAAGCAAATTTCCTTAAGTCAGAAGTAAACATATTAAGTGCTCAGAAGGCTTTATTAGCACAAATCATTTATTAAAAGTAATACATATTATTATAGCTTAAAAAACATGAGTTTTAGCTAAAAGCAAAAAAAAGGTATTAATACTGCAAGACTTAGAACCAGCTCTGCTACATTTACTTTCTATTTGTAGCTTGTTTAGTAAGTTATCATAATGCATTGTTTTCTATCTTATTGTTAATAGCTTGGCATTTACTATTTCATAAAATTTTATTGATGTTCTGTGGAAGATGGCAATGGAAATGCTTCTCTCTTCAATACAAACTGAGACAAAAAGAAAGAAGCGATTTGCCTGGGAAGATTGATGGTGGACTTGACAGTTGTGTCCACCCGCACAAGTTGTGGGCCATTAGCTAACCAGTGGCCCGTGATTCCTCCCTTGGCGCTTGTGTGCAGCATGGCGGCTTGAAAAGTATCGTTCTGCGGCCCACTGCCAGCTAATAGACAGCTTGAAAACCACTGTTTCATGAAGCAAAGACTTTGCATGTCTGTGATCTTTCAGAAGTGTTAATTTATGCATATCCTGAACACAGTATCACAATCGTTACCAACTTTGTCAAATACCAGTTTGGTTTTCATGGAAGTGTTTTTATAAATTTTCACTGATGATGAAAAACACTTCCTCTAGATGACTCTGAAAGAAACAGGAAACTGTCATGTACAAAACAGACAAAAATCTCATGAACTGAGTGTAATCTTTGTTCACAAGCATCGTACTATTTATGATTTATTTTTCCTAGTAATCAGACTTATGTATGAGGAATAAACTTAAGACAGCTCAGTATATAGCTTTTTCTTAATCTGATTCAGAACATGTTTAAATGCCGGGTCAGTCTTGGGTAGGAAGATGTCCATGATTTTAATTAACCCTGCAAGTTTTCATTGAGATATGACCCTATTACTTTTTCCACTCCTTATGTGCATCTGTCACAAAATCTGGACTATATTGCTTAAAACAGTAAAAAAACTTATGACTAAAGTATGACTGGAACCTAAGCCGTAAATTCTTGAAGTTTCATGGTGATACTTTTTATAGGCTTGAACATAAGCGATAATGATTTGGGTTTGCTTTGCAGCCCTCTCACTTTCACCAAACAATACCATATGCTAACATCCAACTGTGTAACGTAGTGCATATTGAGCTGTTTTATACATTTGTGCATATCTTCAGCTGGAGACTGTGACTTCAGACTTGTTTTCAAGTGGTCCATCTTCTCTAGCCACAAGAATAACTGCATTTATATCACTGTGGCATCAAGCTCAAGAGCCATAAATGTTCTTAGTGGCATAAAAGTGTGAGTCAAATATGTTAAAATTCTTAAATCAAGTTATGGTATTTACGTTCAAACACAGGCTCTGTCTACATATCAAATAATGTAGTGCAATATCTATATGGATCAGCTGGTCAAAGTAGTTGTAGATAAAGAGCTTTAACATCTTCATGTATGGCTCAAGACTGTTACTTTAGACTAAATATAGCTCAGTCCTTGGTCATTAATGTCCCCGCCATACGTAGTGTTTGAAGCTGTTGGTTCAGGCCTTTCGTTCTGCATTAGCTGGACAAACAAATTTAGTGCACGCCTTGGGCAGAGTCCTAGAATGCTTTCTTCCAAGAGTAATCTACTTTGCATGCAGCAAAATCATTCTTCAAAACCAATGAATGTGCATTAAGTGCTCAGGGGATTCACTTCAAAACTATGCTACAGCTCCAATCCAAAACATTAAAGCTAATTTAGTTATTCTGGAATATTCACATAAAGACAAGCCATTTGTGAGCATATTAGCTATTTCAGCTGAAAACAAACATTGTAAATTTAGCTTAAAAATACTTTGCCCCTGATGTTCCTAATGTTGCAAATTTAATTCTGTTGCTTAACATTTTTCTCCCTTCAAAAATTTCCTGAGTTTTATTACATTAAGATGGGAATAATAATATATATTTGATTATGTAGTATTTTAATACATTGTGAAACAATGAAATAGAGTATACGTGCAGTATGTTAATAATAGATTATTTGCTTGTATTATTATTCAAAATGTATGCTGTAGAGAAGCTGCAGTAGGTCTTTTATCAAGTATTACTACAAGCTGTCTCCTAATCTAAAAAAATATGTTTGAGATGGAGGGAGGGAAAAGAAGGCTGTTGATTTTCTGAGCTGCTCATCTTTCACTGGGTCAAAATTCCTTTTCCTGTAATACTGAGTAGCATTTTTATTTTTGATGGAAACTCTAATGCTAACATAAGATAGGCAGAGAGAAGATGGAGCCAGTTCTCTGGTTTCTTACTGTCTTTCATAACTATGGGAACATGTTTCAGGCTGCTTGTTCAAATTCTGTTTTACTTTGCATAAAATCTGACTCTTTAATCTGCAGGTTAATTTCTGTGACCTCAGAGGGCAGTTGTGGTGCGTTGACTTTGCCTGGTTGCCAGACGCCCACCCAGCTGCTCTCTCTTTCCCCCTCCTCAGTGGGACAGGGGAGAAAAGGCTGTAGATAAAAGTAGAGACAGGGAGATCATTCACTAATTACTGTCACGGCAAAACAGACTCAATTTGGGGAACATTAATTTAATTTATCATGAATTAAAATATAGTTGGTGGGAAATAAAGATGAAAACTGAAATACCTTTCTCCCACCCCTCCCTTCTTCTGAGGTTCACCTTCAGTCTTTCATTCCTGACTCCTTCACCTCCTCGCCGCCGAGGGGCACAGGGGGATGGGGAATGGGGTTGCCATCAGTCCATAACAGCTCCTTTCTGCTGCTCCTTCCTCCTTATACTGTTACCCTGGTCCAGTGTGGGTCCTTCCCATGGCTGCAGGGGAATCTCTGCATTGGTGCCTGGAGCACCTCCAGCATCTCCAGCACCTCCTCCTCCCACTTCTTCACCAACCTTGGTATTCACAGGATTAATTCTCACACTTTTTTTTTTCCTCTCTCACTCCTATTTTCCACATCCGCTATGCAGCATTTTTTACCCTTTCTTAAATATGTTTTCTGAGAGGCAACACTGTCTCAGCTGAGAGGCTCAGCCATTTTAAAAGGCTTCAAGTACTTTCAAATATGTAAAAATATGGGGTTTTATTTCTTGTTCTAACTTAGAGACCTGGCTGCGAGGAACTGCTTGGTAGGTGAAAGCAACATTTTGAAAATAAGTGATTTTGGAATGTCCCGGCAAGAAGATGATGGCGTGTACTCATCGTCAGGCCTAAAGCAGATTCCTATCAAGTGGACTGCCCCAGAAGCTCTTAACTATGGTAAGGACATACATGTATCTTCTTGAAAAAAATAATAAATTGAAAGTAGTATAAGGAGCACCAGGACTACACTGTGGGCAATATTTGAGTATATATACATATTCCTAGTGCCCATTTCAAATCAATAATGGTTGAAATAATTTTAATATTTCAGTCTTGTTTAAGTTATGTATAAAATACTAGTTTACCTTCCAGAAGAATAAGGCAGCAACATCAAAATTGCTGTTATGCAGCAATAAAATACTGCTTTGGTTATGTTGCTGACTTGTTCTAGTAGACTACCTGGTCAGTCATCTAAATGATAATCGGTAGCAAAATTAGTGGCGAGTTCTGCATACTTATGGCAGTGATTGTTCTAGCACCTCTTTGAAAATGGTAGAAAGTGTTAACATACTATAGCATTCTGTTAGATAAATCATTGCATTGGAGAAAAGTACAGTCACTGATGGTTGGATTATTTTTTTAACTGCAGCTTTTCTTTACCTGCATTTTTGTATCTTGCTAACCTGTTGTCTTGGGGAAAAAAAATCCATTATTTCTGACTGGGGGAAGTAGTCCATAATACATGGGTAAAAGTTCCACAACAGAAACAGAAGCTGCTGTATTTAGCTTTTTGCGTTACATGAAACTAGAAAAACAAGTTCTTCTAAGTAAAGTGGGCTGTGAAGAAGCAGCATATTAAATGAGTGATGCCATGTTTTGGATGTGGTTCTCTCAACTAGTTCTGTAGTTGAGTACTTAGAAAAAATTTTTTTTAAATTCCTCATTTGAAGTTGTTATAAATATTTCTACCATGTCTTAAAGCTTTTCTTTACAACCATGCATTAGAAATAATAAGTTTGTGGCTTATGATTGATAGCAAAATGCTCCCTCTCATTAGCGCTTTTGCAGGAGTTACTCCCTGTCGTGGTTTTAGGCTGATCCAGCAACTAAAACTCACACAGTCTCTCCTTCTCCGGTAAAGTAGGGAGGGGAGAAAAAAAACAAAGAGACTGAGGGTTGAGACAAGAACAGAGGGAGCACCCACCAACCATGGTCCTGGGCAAAACAGACAGGCTTTTCTCAAAAGCAAAACAGTTTATTAA